AACCTGAAATGACTCATTTAATCATCCATAACGTTATGGAACACATTAATTAACTGAAAAATGTTGCATAGTGTGCCTTTAAGTTGTTTTTGGAGCACATACTTTTTTCACTTTTACACCACTGAAAATAAGTACACTTTTTCTTGAATTTAGAAGGAAAGTGCCAATGGAACAAGACAATTAGCATTTAAAATAAGAAAAAAAAAATATTGCTTTGTCTTATTTCAAGTTCATATTGTCTAATAATCTTATTTTAACCCTTTAAAGCCCGATCCAAGAATAAAACAAAACAGAAAATTACTTTTTTTGGTTTAAAGTCCTTATTTGGCCTTTTAACAAAATATGTAAAAAGAAAAAACAGAAATACATTTATGGTATTAATAATTTATTACTATGCGATAAGTCAAGATTATGTTTTGTGTACTCTTCTACTGGCTGTTATCAGGTATATCTAATTGTGTACAATAGGATTTTGAGCAGTTTTTACCAATAAATTATGCAAAAGGTGTCAGACGCAAAACATTTCAGAAACCGTATGTATCAAATACGATACATTTGGCATTACAGGGAAAAGAGTAAAAATCCTCATTTAATTGGCAAATCAATCTTATTTACTTACTCAAATTAAGGATAAATACACTTAATTTAAGAATTTTTTACTTATTTCTAGATGATTTTTGCAGTGTCTTTTCGAATCAGGAAGATCAAACCTTTTCCAACATTAAGTGGTTAAAACTCACTACAGAAAGCAGATTCTCCTCTGAACTGCATGGAGATTAAACCAGAGACCGTTTCCCGCCCCAGGTTCATGGAGATATCCGACCCGGTTCTGCTGGCTGGCGGGTCGTCGCTCCCTGCGCCTGCTCACACCGACCTCGACCAGACCGTGAAGGACGGAGGATTCTCAGAGAAAGGTCAGACTGCTGCCTCACAGAGAGATCTGTTTTTATCGTATGTCTGTCGACGCTTTGCTTTTATCTAGAGTTCATTTTCTAGGCAGATTCCTGCTGCATCCTGATAGAGCTGAAATAAAACAGGCTCAGATTTCTAAATGAATGAACTCCTAAACCAAACAGGATGATTCTGCTGATTTCTGTGACTGAGGAGGAAAACCTGGAAGGAGAGCACTGCTCTGGGATTCCTCAGAGCTCCGCTCTAGGCCTCCTTCTTTTCTTTCCTTTTATTGAACAAAATAAATAGATGAAGTAATAATCTTTTAGCAGATTCTGGTTTTCTTTCAGTGCTTCTAGCCTACAAATGCTCTGTTTTTACACAATGAGTGGAGTTACTGAAAAAAGCAGTTTATCATCTTCGTGTTTCTTATTGGTTAGGATGTCTTCCTGTGTGACCTCAGGGGGCGGGGCTTTTTGAGAAGCTTCCTTGTCTTCATATCTACTCCTTTGTCCTCGGTGGATAACATCCTGGAAGCAGGGGCGGAGTTATGACATTTGGGGCCCTAGGCAAGGACAGGCAGGGGGCCCTCTGAA